AATCAAGCTGAAAAATAATAAAAAGTCCGAATTAAAAAAAAAAAACTGAAACTCGTACATGGACCAATTATAGGGTAAACTCAAACAAAATAAAAATAAAAATAAAAATAAAAATAAGAAACAACTAAAACAACTAAATAAAAAAGGATAAAAATTAAAAAAAAATACAAGGAGCAAAAAATGGTAGAAAATTTGGGTTATGCTAAGACATACTGTAGGGTTTGAATCTTATTGGAAGTCCAAATTGGATGATTTGCATAAGATGGTGTTAGATAGATGAAAATATTTTATTACTAGAATTTAAAAAAAATAAAAATAAGAGCATCAATAATATGAATTAAAACTTAAAAGGCAGTCTTACTTGAGCCACATACAACATACGACATAAGTGAAAAGAGAAAACAACAAGCAAAATGAAAGCTTATGTGAAGTATTTTAAACTCATCAAGCATGTTTACGAGAGAAATGATTTACAGTCCAGTCTCCAAATTCAATGAAAAGCGTAAAGCACAATTGCCGTGCTCACACAAAATTTTCCTATGTTTTCTTCATGGGTCATTAATTTTATGCTATGCAATATAAAGTAGGGTCACACTGAAAATCGTTTTAAAGGACATAGAAAGAGACTATTCATCAACCAAACCATTACCTGCAAAAGGGCCCCTGTCCTTTGCAAGAGAAATGAGATCAAGGTGAAGAGTGGCTGGAGAACAAACAACGAAACCAAACGTGACACTGAGCCCACAATTACCGTAGCATCATAATTAGAACTGAAAACCCATACATCATCGATTAAATCCCAAAGTGGCCCTAGTCAAATGAGCCAGTGGCGTTTGTCCCTTCCACAATTCCTTTGAGAAGCAGACCATGCATACGCATTAAATGCCCCTTCCTATCCATCTAGCCCCCAAGATGGAGGGTCGCCAAACTGGCGACTAAACACTTTATTGTATGGAGTTTACTACGTACTGTTCCCCAATTTTCTTTTATCCGTTTAAGTAATAGTAATAATGTTCATTTTAATATCATATTAAAATTATAATACACTTAATATTTATTCCCACCCCACTCTATGTTACCACCTATGACCTACCGATGTGACAATATTTCTAATTGGTGGAAAAAGTATACTGCTGCCTTATTTAGCAATATGAAATGAAATTGTACGATCATCTAGCATTTAACATTTGAAGAAAATGAAAAATTGTCCTCCATCCTGTGGTCTATGATATTTAATATCGAACCTCCCAAGAAGATAATTTCCTTCTTACATGGGAAAGGTGAGTTACACGCGTATATATTTATTTTAACCATTGGTTTATGTTGACAAATAGAGTTATCATGATGATTATAATGTACTAGAGCTGGATTTGTCTTTCAATACATGTAATTTGGTACATTTATAAATATTTGAATGGGGATAATCCAAGACGATAATGTCAAAAAATAACTTTTAAATGTTTGATGTTTAGCCAATTTTATATAATAAATAAATTTTTATATTTATAAACAGTGAGATATATCTCGGACAAGTTTTTATATTTATCATGTATTAAGTTAAACGAGAATCAAAATCTATTTAACTTTTGATCGATTATTCAATTATTTTTTAATCAAATTAATTTAAATCGATACCATTAAAATATAATTATGAATAATTATTTTTTACATGATAAATTTAATATTAAACAGAACATGATAGATCTATGCTTATTTTGAAAAGAATTGAACACTAGCCAAAAGGATGTTTTACGATATATATATATATATATATATATATATATATATATATATATATATATATATATAATAACACATTTAATTTTTAATCAATCATTCAATCGTTTAACCAAATTAATTTGAACATAATATCACTAAAATATAATTATGAATAATTATTTATTATACGATAAATTTAAGTGTGTTAGATATCACAAGTATATTTCATGGTTGAATACTGTAAATGCATAACTCTTCTTTACTATAATTCAATCAGTAAAACAAGTCATGGTACTTTGAAAATCATGGATCCATGCTTATTCTGAAAACAAATTGAGCACTAGCCGAAAAGGTGTTTTCAGCTGAGCTTTGCAATTCTCATATTTGATAAACCGGTAATGCTAATCAAAGTGGTGCCCTTGTGCTACAGTTCTATTGCCAAATACGTCAATGGATTTGTTGTATAGTTATCAACAAGTGGATATTGTGATTATCATCATCATATCAATAAATTTACCAGCATCACAAATTAACATGCTGCCCATCAAATCAAAATATTAGATGATACAATAGTTAATAAATTGATAATGGATTATTGTGTTAGCATATTTATTATCTTGATAATTGATATATTTATCTAGTCATATTCAAAAATATTTCTTTCTGAATTATAAATTCCCATACTTATCCTCCCTTTAGGAGTATTCTATTTTGGGTAAATAGAAAACAAGCATAAAATAACAGAGGGGCGAATTTGTAAATAGATTGAAATTTAGGATTATAAATATAAGTTTTTCAAACTACAGGGATGAATTAATTTCTTTTGGTTAAGCTACAAGGATTAAGCTAAAATCAACTCAAAATGGGACATGAGGACCGACAATACAGTAACTTCCGTTTAGGACTCGCTTAGAGCCTGTGAGTACTGATTGGCCATTCCATCCATCAGAGCTTTTGGAAAGCGAAGTTACGGGAAAACACAACTACAATAGTTGGAATTATTTTATTCTTACTCCTAGGATGATAAAATGGATGGGGATTGAAAAGGTGGGACTTGAATGGAGGAGGGAGCATAGGTAGGGTGTGTGAACCTCCTCTAACGACCCCTGACAGAGCCCAACAGCGCAAGCAAGCGTGACAGCTACAAGACAACCAAAGAAGATGGAGGATGAGACGCTTCTTTACTTATCTTTTTGTGTCTTGACACAATTATCCTCCATGTACATGTATGGTGATGGGGGCTGACGCATCTTCTTGTCCTATTATGGAGGATATTAATCACTGACAACGTTAGGGTCCCTATCCCTGTCTGACACCTTCCCGAATCTCTGTTTCTTAAGTTTCTTTTTTCTTTTTTCACTTCATTGAAATTAGTCTCTTTGAAGAAAGGTAGAATATCTAAGGAATAAGAAATACTATGTGTTTTATTTTTATTTTTAAAAATACATATAAACTTTTACGTAGGGCTAAGTAAACTCTTTATAAAATTCTAGATTATGAGATTGAGAATTAATGGTATATTTATATATTTTTTTATGTATAATCGTAATTATTTTTATAAAAATTTTAAGTTTAGATTCTAAAGTGAGAGGGTTTTTTAGAATAAAAAATGATTTGTACTACACGTAATATAAAATATTCTATGTACTTTTTTCATTTTTGTTAATTCTATCTAACTACTCCCCTGCATATTTGCTAAATAATAAAAAATGTGAACGAATAACTCAATTTTCTTTTTTTGATATTAAAGATGATCAATAGACTAAATAAAAAATAGAAATGAATGAATACCTTTTGGGATATAATAACAAATGAATTGTGTCATGTCTATCTTTAGAGATTACCAAAAAATTTCTTGTTCCCATCCCTTCCTATTTTGACCGTGTTCCTCACCAAGTCACCATCCTAGCTGTACGCCTGTACCCCCCAATTATCCAAAACTAAATTTATCTTTGTAGGAGTATTATTATTATTTTTTTTTTGCTAAAACTCGTGTTTTTGATACATATTGGGCCACGTCTGGTGCGTATTCACATTCAATACGGGGCTTACGAGACCTTTTAGAAAGATGGATCTTAAGCCTAATCTATAGAGTCCAGATGCAAAAGCTACAATTTTCGTAAAGGCCCAAATACAGGTCCAACCAAAAAGTCCAATTTAAGAAATATCTGGGGAGGAAATCTGACAAATGTGTTCAGTAAATAAATAGGATAGAATTAGGAAATGGTAAAGATAAAAATTAGAAAGCATGCTTTTGTTAGTTTCTAAAATAATTTTAGGTTATGTTTGGGTAACTTTTGCAAATTAATTTAAGTTATTGTTTTTTTTTTTTTTTTTTTAAACTTCTAACTTGTAAAAAAGTCATATCTATGTTTGGCCAAAATTAATTTTTGACTTAAATAAAAAAATAGTTATAAATTTGAGTCAAAATATTGCTTTAACTTACTGATTCTAAGCTATATTATCTCTTTTCTTAAAAAATTACTTTTGAGTTATTTTCCAAACATGTTTCTAACTTAACTATTTTTGTCATAAGTTATTTATGAAAAATACCTTTTTAAATTGTGATCAAAGTCAAAAATCTCTTTCTATAAATCATGGCAAACACAATCTTCATTTATCTTCATTTAGTTGCAATCATAATGTAAATAAAAAAAATAAAAAAAATAACTCAAATTTTTTAGTGAATATCTTACAAATTTTAAGCATCGAGGTTGAATAATTCTTTAACTCTTAAGTATCAAGATGTCTCCTTGGAAACTTTTCTTTTCAAGGAGTGACTTACCTGAACATGTTTATAATAATAGGGCGATACAAAATAACATGATATTAATTTAGATTTTGGGTTTGAAATATTGTGAAGGATCCAAAAAAAATAATTTTTGATCAGATGAAAAGTTTCAAATTTTTTATTAGTGTTAAGGTGAGATGGCAATGAATTAAGCATGATAAATTTCAGCAGAGAGGACTGACTGAATCCAAAGCAACATAAAATGAGGTAGATTAAACGGAAAGAGTCTATTCTAGCCGCGCGCTTCTCTCTCTCCTTTTCGCTATTTTTTTGCTTTAGACTCGTTACCTCTCTCTAGAATGCCAACTTCTTCCCTCAATATTCACTGCCTTCTACTTTGGACTATCTCTTTTACGTATCATCTTCATCTTCTCTCTCCCTCTCTTTCTTTCTTTTCAGTTGTACACTGAATATTGCTTTATAGGTCTTTTCTTCTGCATTGTTTCAAGCTTGCCCCACTGGATTAGCTGGCTACTGCATTAATTGATACATGGCCTCCATGAAGTTGGGCTCAAAAACAGATGGCTTTCACCGTGATGACCAAACTTGGTAAGTATTCTTTATTTTTCCTTGGCTTGATTTTTTTTTTTTTTTTTTTATTATAGTTATATAACAGAAAATATGAGATGGGATTTGCTTCTATAGAAGTATGTGAATGTGTTTATGTTGTAGCCAATGCGAAATCGTGAATTCTATTTCACAATTCTGGGCACTTTTTTTTTCCCGCCTCTTTTTACTCTGTTTTCCACAACTCAAGCACTTAGCTTTTTAATTTTCTGCGATGTGGACTTTGTTCATGATCACTGTGCCTCTCTCAAAGCAGAAAACTGTCATTTAATGCCATGGACAGTCCACCATGAGAAATGTTATTTGATGCACTTATAGTGTAAAAATGTCTAGCATAAGGATAGTGGTATTACTAAATTGGTCATAATCCGACCAGTAAAAGATTAGTTCCTTATTACAAGTAATTACTTTTCCATTTCTAAAGAGCTCTATTTTCGTATCACAAATACTTTACCTTAATTTTAAGAAGTTGTACTCTGGTTTTGTGGGTTTTGTATGTTTTTTCCCTGCAGGCATTGCACAACTGGGCTTCCAAGTGATGTTACCGTTGAGGTTGGGGAAATGACTTTCAATCTCCACAAGGTGCAGTAATTTGATTATACTCAACCTATGTAATTGTTTGCGTGTGCTTCTTGACTGCATGCATGCACAAATTTTGTTTATGTGCTCCATCATTTCTTGTTCTCTCTCCATTTTTAGCTTGATTTTTCTTCACTGATTCACTTCATATTCTTTTTTCTTGGCTCACCAATTCCTTGCCCCCTTCACTAAAATAAATTAGAACTGAACTTTCTAATTTTTTGCGTGTGCTTCTTGACTGCATGTATGCACAAATTTTGTTTATGTGCTCCATCATTTCTTGTTCTCTCTCCATTTTTAGCTTGATTTTTCTTCACTGATTCACTTCATATTCTTTTTTCTTGGCTCACCAATTCCTTGCCCCCTTCACTAAAATAAATTAGAACTGAACTTTCTAATTTTCTACCTGCCACAACAGTTTCCATTGATTTCAAGAAGTGGGCTGCTAGAGAAGCGTATTGAAGACCTTGCTAATGAGAACGGATCTGTTTCTGTCTTGAAACTTAATGACATACCTGGTGGTGCTAAAACATTTGAACTTGTTGCCAAATTTTGCTATGGTATCAAAATAGAGATGACTTCTTTGAATGTGGTGAGCCTTAGATGTGCAGCAGAGTACCTTCGCATGACTGAAGATTATGGAGAAGGGAATCTCATTGTACAAGCAGAGGCTTTCCTTGACGAAGTCTTCAGCAGTTGGACAGACTCCATAAGAGCTCTTGAAACTTGTGAAGAAGTTTTGCCTTTTGCAGAAGAAACTCATATTGTTCCAAGGTGCATCGATTCCTTAGCAATGAAAGCTTGTGCAGATCCAAACGTATTTAATTTGCCTGTTTCAGGACAACATGATACCCAAAACCAGGGAGCCATCATCTTATGGAATGGTATATCCACTACAAACAAACCACAACCCATCGGTGAAGACTGGTGGTTTCAAGATGTCTCATTCCTCAACTTACCTCTCTACAAACGACTGATTTTAGCTGTTGAATCGAGAGGCATAAAGCCTGAGACTCTTTCTGCTTCCCTTATATACTACGCTAAGAGTCACCTCCCCTTGATGAGCAGACAATCAAGCTTTGACCATGCCAACCATGTCAATCCTGGGGCAACTGTTTCCATCCCTTCGGAGGCAGATCAAAAGGTTCTCCTAGAAGAGATCGTGGCGTTATTACCTAATAAGAAGGGAGTCACATCCCCCAAGTTTTTGATTATGCTGCTTCGTACTGCTATGGTCTTACATGCAAGTCCATCATGCAGAGAAAATTTGGAGAAAAAGGCAGGAGCCCAGTTAGACCAAGCAGTACTTGTAGATCTTCTCATACCAAATACGGGTTATTCAGCGGAAACCCTTTATGATATAGATTGCGTTCAGAGAATGCTTGACCATTTTATGTCTCTGAACCACGAAGCAGCTTTATCAGCTTCCCCTTGCATTGCTGAAGAGGGCCAGTTCGTGGGCAGCCCTGATACACTAACACCGTTGACATTGGTGGCCAGTCTGGTGGATGGATTTCTTGCTGAGGTGGCACCAGATGTTAATCTGAAGCCCCAAAAATTCGAGGCACTTGCAGCTACCATCCCAGATTATGCCAGGCCACTGGATGATGGAGTTTATCATGCTATTGATGTATACCTGAAGGTAATACAACTTTGAATGCGTGGCTTACCTCATGTTTAAAGTAAATTGAAATCCTAAAAGCCAATGCTGCACTTCATTATGACTAGATATACTCACATTTTCAATGCTTCAATTCTTCTGGATTGAGATGGTTATTCTACCAGGGATCCTGAAACATGGTTGGGCATTGAGTAGGTCTGTTACATATTTAACAGGGAAAATGCACTTTACAATTGTCTGAAAATGGAAGAGTTGCATTTATGAGTATGTTCCTAATATGTTTCAGCACAAAGGTACATGTTTTAGAAGTTTTTTTGAATTGGAAGCTCCAGTTTACCTGTAATGTAAAAGAAACTGGTTATGTGTTTGGACAATCTGGAGTCAACTCTTAGATACATCTTTTGCAGACATGAGTATTGGAGCCCTTGATACATAAAATCTAGTTTGTCCTGGTTTGTTGTTTTACATGCAAACCAAAATTCTGTGGGGGAATGTAAGCGGTCCCTAAGAAATAAAACCAAGTGATCACAACTCCTGAAAGAAGTTAGTTTGGTATGTTGAATGAAAAGAACAAGGGGAGAATGCTAAATATTCGTATATGGATGCCACTGATATGTTATTGAGTTCCAAATATCCAACACAATTGACATAATTTGTTTTTGTTTTTGTTTTTTTTTTTAATTTTTTTCTCACAACTACAGGCTCATCCTTGGCTTACAGATGCTGAGAGGGAGCATCTTTGCAGACTCATGAACTGCCAGAAGCTCTCACTGGAAGCCAGCACCCATGCTGCCCAGAATGAGAGGCTACCTCTTCGAGTAATTGTCCAAGTCCTCTTCTTCGAACAGCTTCGGCTCCGTACATCAATTTCTGGATGGTTCTATGTTTCTGGGAATCTTGAAAACTCACAAAATCCTTGTGGAAACATTGGACTTCCGAAAAATAATGCTTCCCATCAAATAAACTCGAAAGACAGAGCTGAGGGTGTTGATGGCATGAAGGAGCGTGTTTCTGAACTTGAAAAGGAGTGTTTGACCATGAAACAAGATCTTCAAAAGATCCTAAAGACGAAGAGAAGCTGGAAGATATTTTCCAAGCCATTCAGGTTTAGAGAGAAACTACAGCCCTGCAATTCAAAAGAATCATGTGATTTAAAAGAGCCAGAAGCATCTGCAAATGGATACAAGAATCATGATAATGGTGACATGCCTCAGTAAATCTTCAAATTCAAACTAACTGGATGACTATGCCACTCTACATTTCTTGTTTATTATTTATCTTGTAGAATGCCATGCATAGATGCAATTCTTTAAGAGAACAATCATGTCTTTGTTTGCGCAGAAGTTAGGCTGTAATTTGATTTACTCATTATTAATAATTCAATAACTCTGAAGCAACTGAATTAATTACTGAAATAATTGAGCACCTGGATTAGTTTCTCATTTTCAGCAAATTGGCCTTTTTTTTTTTTTTTTTGCCATTCCTGGCTCTTTGAACCATTAATTTATTTCTTTTCTATTTTACTTCAATGCAGAATCACTCTATATGTGTGAGCCTGAAAGAGTGTTGTATAGATATTTGATCTTCCTCGACTGTTGGAACTTTAGATTTGTTACTTACAGAACATTTTAGGATTGGGTACAACTCCTCCATTTGCTTGTTTTGTTCACTGAAGATGTGACCCTTTTATTCTCTGCAAAGAAAAAGCTCTTCTGAGGTTGTTCTGAAAATTAGGGAAAACAGTAACCGAACCAAAAGCATAGTATTTTGTTTTTTTGGTCAGAACAAAAGCATTAGAGAAGAACCCAAAAGAATACAACTTCGAAAAGCATAGCTTCCTTGATGGCAAATTTTTCGCTTATATATCGAGGCCTTTTGTAGCCCCAAAACAATCGTTAAAAAAAAAAAAAAAAGGGCTGCTAAAAATTAAGGGAGTTCAATACTCAATGAATCATTGTAACTTCTGTGAAGGAGCATATGCCGAGATCAGAGGAACAGATTCAATGACGACAGGAAGCGCAGAAGAAAAAGAAGCTCCGTCAAGAAAATAAATCTTTGTTTTATTCCATCTAGCATGGTGGGAGGTCTTCTGGTGGCGGCAGAATGGATTCTTCAGGTGACTTTCCATTCTCAACGACAAAGGCCATCTTTAACCCCCACATGGTATGGAGTTCCAGGTGACAGTGCATGAACCAAACACCTATACATATAAGCATGATGCATAAGTAAGTACTTTAGGCCAAATTAAGGAATTGCATATTGTACAACTCAAGAAATTTAATCTGAAGTTACCTGGGTTATCGGCTCTGAACCTTATAGCAGTCCATCCTCCAGTTGGAACTCTAACTGTGTTTCTCTCAGGAGGATCTACTAGATTAGACTTTGCCGGGTCTTTTGTAGGATCAAAGTTGCCAACCCCAGTTCCAACTACAAAGAAATTGAAACCGTGGAGATGGAATGGGTGGGATTCAACTGTCAGCAGATTGGTGTCCTGCAATACCAGTTCAATGGTGGAATTGAAAGCTACCTTACTGAGCCTTGTTCCTAATGAAGTGCCAAGGTTAGCTGTAAGAGGCACACCAGTATAGTTGAAAGGTACAGGAGGGCGGTCAGGGAAGTCAGTTCTAAAAACTCCTGATATATTGAAGTAATAAGCCTGCAAGAGTCCAATCTTTGGCATCACAAAGGTTATGTTGTTTAATGAGGCAGTAAGTTTTGTACCGTTTTGGCAAGTAGGGCATGGGTTTTGTCCTAAACCAACTGCATAGAAGAGATGGCGATCGATTTGACGAGGGACTTTGGCAGGAAATTGTGGAGTATTCAAGCTTTTAAGTTTACTGCTGTATCCTAATGCAAATGTGGTGTCATTAGGGGCAGGCAGTGTTGGCAAACTTGGGATAACTGTGTTTGGAATCCCTTTGCATTGCAAAATGGCTGTAACAGTTTTGTTGTCTACAGAAATTGGTGCATCCATGAAAGGTCTAGCTGCCATGAAATATCTGCTTGGAGTTTGATCAGCCTTGATCAGAACATTTGTGGTTTGCCCTGGTGCAATTAGGATGGCCTGGGTTGCGAATGGCTTGGTGTAGACTGCATCAATCTCGACTACGGTCATGCTATGACCAGCGACAGCAAAGAAGAGCTCGTCATTGAGGGCAGCGTTGATAATCCTTAGCAGGTAGGTTTTACCTGACTCCACCTCCATAGCGAAGGTATCTATTACAGCAATAAGGAATATTTTTCAGTAATCAAAACCTGGAATGTTTTTTTATCAAATGCATGCTTGGTATTTACTTCTGATGAAGATTTTTTTCGAAAATTGTTCAGGGTCTGTATGTGAAATTTAAAGAAGATCAATGATCGAAGCATTGGTCTTACGTTTATCTGAACAAGGGAAGAGTGGCCCAGGCTTTCCATTGATAGTGTGAGCATCTGAGGTTTGAGGTGGCAACCCCAACTTATTACCTTGGTTTACAATTGTTTCAACATCTGAGTTCCACCATTCTCCTGCATGAAAAATCTTGCAATTTAGATTTCCAATTCAAAGTTTTCAAACTTCCTGGCTAGCTAGTTACCTTCAACATTATTTATAACAAGCCTAAGATGATATTAGTTTCTTGGTAAGGCTGAGGAAATGGAAATGGAGTTCCTTCTCTAGGCATGACGACAATGGCACCATAAACCGTGGCTCTTAGCCACAAGATATGAGCATGCCACCACAGTGTTCCTCTTTGGCCTGTAACATTAAAATTGTAAGTGTAGCTTTGCCCAGTCTTGATGGGCCATTGTGTTATATATGCAGGTCCGTCTGCCCAACCATTGCGAAATTGCTTTAAGCCATGCCTATAAACAGCAACACTCGTAAGTTAATTAATTTACAAATTCACCCATTACATTCACTGTTACAACCATCTTTATGTGTACGAGAAAGTGAGTATTACCAATGAATGGACATGTTGTACTGTGCATGATTGGAAACGTTAACGAGAACTTGATCTCCTTCTCGTACATAGATGGTAGGTCCTGGAAACATCCCATTTACAGTGACAATTGGCTTGGCATGGCACAACCTGCTCACATTCTTGACTCGAATCTGTATGCCAATAGAACAACATAGAAGAGCTTTTTTTCTCAGTCGAAGTGACAGAATTCATGCCAAAAGGAAGATGTAATCAACACACACAAAAATCAAGGATAATAAGAACACACACATCGAACTGATACTTCTTCAAGAAAGAACCAACCCAAGAAAGAAAATGAAGAGAGGTAATGATCCTAGGCACCAACATTGGTACTCTCTTGCCATGTTTACTTTCCTAGTAAAGATTGATTCTTTCTTTAGGCCTAAGTGCTAATGGATTGCAGTGCCATGGAGGAGAAACTACTGCTACTTATAATAGTTGTAGAATGCACATCAAAAAGTTGGTTGATGAGTTGTTAGTGCAGAGTTGGCATTATATTTCCATTAGGTGAAGCAAATGCAAGACCGAGATTACACAAAGCTTAAAAGCAACTGTTTAAAGACGTTGAGATATCTATGCACTGACCGCTAAACTATATTCTTATGGGTTCAGACCATATATAATACATTATATGTAAGTATATTGTCGGAGTACCGTAAAAGGGTGACGCTAATGGAATCGTCTGTAAACAAATCAATACAACCAATTTCTAAGAAATTTGCTTTGCAGTAACATGTTGCTTTGTTGCTAGTTTTCCTGTCTGGTGTACTGTTCAGCATTTTGGTTGAAGGAAAGGGACAATTGATCAATCTTGGCGGAACCTATTTGGTTATGATCGAAGTACAGATTGCAAGGTTTCTAGTAGAAAATGGCATGGTAAAGCCATTGTTCTTTACATTGAAAAACAAAATCATTAAAAAAGGCAATGCATTTATGAATCTTACCATGCAACATCCACATTAATTAATATAAAATTTCTCTTCGTTTAGCCTTTGGTTTCGGATCTGACCTGAGTGCCATGCAGGTGATACATAGCTTGATCAACTGATCAGTTACTTGTCTGGTATAGTGGTCTTATGGCCATTATCATGTCGACAACACAGTTTGAATGTAAAATATTACTCCATTACTTCCAAATAATTGTAATGTTTGATTGTTTACCTGTATTAAAATGTCATTAATTGATATGATATGTTATCAATTTTTATTCCTACTTTTAAAAAATACCACTTTTTAATTATAGAGTGGATTTAATTAGAGTAAATACATGACTTAAATGTTTGATCGTAAAATTATTTTTGTAACAAATAAAAATAGAAAGTAGAACAATTTCTCTGGTACAGAAGGAGTACTAGCTATTGCAAAGAATGGATTTGAATAAGGAGAAATGTTCACAAACATAATCAGAATTATAAAAGGTTTTTGTTTGGTTTTGGTAATGTTCAAGAACAAAATCAGAAGTACGAAAGTTTTTCTCATAGATCTGAAAACTACGTTTTCAGCGCCTCAATTGTGATGCCTCATATTACGTCGGTAAGTTATGAAAAATTTAAATAAGATATAAAAAATAGTTTATGTATCTATGTGTGACAAGGAATTCTTTTTCAACATTGAGATTATTCATTTGTGCACATACAATATGCGCAGGAGATTTTTAAGAATTAATCAAATGATTAGTTGATAGATCGATTAAGATGCAGATAGTTAGTATTATGATTTATAAAAGTAATAATCAATCAAATAGAATTAGTGTAAATAGTGACATGCATGAAAGAAAGAACAAGTAATATCAATAAGACACAAATCAAATAACGGACAATTGAGTAGTCAAAATTCGAATAGATAAATCTTTAGATTATATGTGATGTGTGAGCGAGAGAGTTTTGAGAGAAAAGAAAGAGGGAGTTGAGAGGTTTTGATGAACATAAAAAAGTTAGAATTCTCCATCGAGTTGTTGTTAGGTTGGTATTTTCTTTAATTTTATGGAAAAAAATTTTTTTTATTTTTATTTTTTTATGTTTTTTAGGGCAACCCCTCTTTTCAATTCATTATAATTTGATGCCAATTTTTTCTAATTTTTTTCTTTTGATATTTTTCAATTTTTTTTTTCATGTGACTCCTTTTATATATATATATATATATATATACTATCTTTCCTAAATTATGAATAAAAATACCAATATATCCTTAAAATCTTAAAAGCTAATAAGACTACCTAAAAATTATAGAAAATCATAAAAAACTTGGACAACATGCACTTTTTGTTTTGATTTTAATATATAATTATTTTTTTAAAAAAAAATTTGTAAAGAAAGAGAGGGGGGGGGGTGTTGGTTTATTCAAAATTTGGGTTATAACACATTATTTGTTGTTGGTTACTTTGCCCTTAAAATAGGTACTTTTCTCACATCTTGAGCCGACTTTTGTTGGTTGAAAATCTATCTTTCATTTGTTTATCTTAAGTTTGTAGAAAGAGTTTCGATAGATTTGTCCGGATCGGTTTATCGAGTTAAATGCGTATATTAAACTTATTAAGCTAGGAATGAGCTTTTCTAATTAGAATGAGTCCAATGAATTTTTAATTGAAACTAATCAAGAAAGTATAAGAAAATTCCATTAAAGAACTTGATGAGTTATGTATCTTTTTTATTCAATTTATCAGGCCCAAATCCAAAATAAATTTGGATATAACATTATCTCACATTTTTTGGTAGGAAACATTGCATATAAATGACACTATCGAGCTTTTATATGAAAGAATCACATCACAACTATATTGAAGTCGACACTTATGATTTTTGTAGGATAATTATAATCATGTATGGGGATTTAGATATCTTACCAATTACATGATTTGGCTAGATAAAATTCAATTTTTCAATCTCATAGATAAACCCTTTATAAAAAAATTTCATTTACTATTCCATCAACTCGGTATTGGCAAATCATGTTTATAATAACACTAAAAAGAGATGAGCTTGAAAGTATAAGATTTTAGGGAATATAAATCTGAAGTATAAATCAAAATGCAATGATTAAAAAATTTCACTTTCTAAAAACCTCTTGATTCGAATGATCTTTCAGATTTCATCAACATTTTAATTGAAATTTGAATTTTCTTTAAAGATAGATTGTGTTTTTTTTTTTTTTTTTTTGGGTTAATGAGTTATGCAACTATAAATTAGTAATTTGAGCTGGGGATACTTGAAGTCCTTTACTAATTTATTAAATATTTTGCTAATAAATTCAAGCTCTACAACTATAAATTACATAATTTCAAACACGCAAGTATGAACATGCTATCAACGAAAAGAAAGAAAACATACCAAAGCTGATTACCACAACTCTATGGTGATTTGCGAATTTCAAGTTTCAACCTTACCTTCTAAAATTGATCTTGTCTTGGTGGGAACAAACTGGGCCATCATCAGCCAGTCTATGACTTTTTGGCGTTCGTCTTGTGTATGGTCCTGCTGATCAAAGTTGCCATACTTAACAAGTCACAAGGCGGCTATTTAGGCCATAATTGCTGGACGGAGATCGAATTTAAGGCCCCACTAGAGTTCTCACTAGGCCCAATCTTTGAGAGTGTTTGAAATTCAAGGCTGGCCCAATCAATATTTGGAAAACAATTAATGCGATCCATAAAAATGTTAATGGGCTCGAAGATCCCTCTAACTATTGATTTATATATATTTTTTCTCTTAAAATATTTCATCATAAAAATAAAATAAATTCTTGTCCTTCAAGTCCGTCAATATTGACATGCCGTTATTTCTTTCGTCTATCTGGTCTCTAACAGTGTTATTTTTGTCCGTTAATTTCTTTGAAAAATGATTTGAATATTTGAAAAATCCATTAGAACAATAAATAAATAAATAATAAATAAATAAAAGGAAACAAATAAAAATTGAAGTACTTAAAAATCATATGAAGACCGAAGAGGGAGGTCTCTTTTGGAGGGTTTTTATTTGTTTTTGCTTTGTGTTTATAAAGAGCGAAGCTATTTCTCCTATCAATAATATGTCAATATAGTAAAGACTAAGAAATGGTAGCCATAGATGGAGTGCAGCATGAATGCCATCTAGCTAGACATAGATGGAGAAAGATATGTGAAACCTTAAAAAATTTAGGTCTTCGTCGTCGGATTTCTTTTAGCCATTGTTGATGACATTTCACATCATATGGAGAGAAAAGGGGATCGATCATCTATGATGTCCATTTGATACCTTTCTTGTCCTAAAGACTATGAAACCTAGTCACTAACGTTTACTTGTCATCCCTTGATGTCTCTCTCTTCTTTTTCATGCCATCTATCCGTGTTTCCATATATGTATAGCTCTGGTTCAAAATTCTTGCCTTAATCAATAACAATGTCTAATGTCTTGGGGATATAGAACCCCTTTTATTTATGAAAGCTTCTCCTCCCGTCAAACTTGGCATCTTTAAAGCAAAATTAATGCCTTTGACGGATTGGAAACAAATTGTTGAACGATTTTGACAGGAGCAGTCCATTCATTTGTTTCAGCATCAGTTTCCGTTACAAGCTTGCATTTCTTTTTTTAGCTTTCACATTAAAATCAATATCACGCACGCACCTCTGGTTTTGTTGTTGTGTACCTGTAATTTTCTTTGTAGTAAGTTTTGAATTTTAATAATTACCGTTTTCTCATTTTCAAATTAGATTAATGGTTGCAGGGTCCTTTTCCTCTTGATTTGGTCTTTAAAATGTCCCTCTACTCTTTCTTGTCTTAATCACGTCTTTTTACATTTGTTTTTTTTTTTTTTTTTTTATCATTACCATGTCTTTTCATTAACATTTTAAGTTAATTGTGTTAAATCTTACCGTTAACTTAACATGTTTATGACATATGTTAGCTATTTTTTGTTACTAAATTTAAATAAATGATTAAAAAAACTATATAAATAGATAAAAACCCCAATCAAAAACACTTAATCTTAATTTCTTTTTCTTTCTTTTATTTAATAAATTGACAGAGTTGATTGATTCACTCCCTCTTTTTCTTACCTTGATGGATTTCAATTGGTTAATTTTTTATGTACATGATCCCTTAATATCGTGGATTTGTTTGTAATTTTTATAATTATTTATTTGTTTTGTCTTTGTCATTGTCTCCTCTTTGCTGTAGAGATGGGTAAATTAAGGCTTTATATTGAAGGAAAATTACATAGGATTGTAGGAAGTTTAAAGTTAGTTACGACTTATGAAAGAAATGTTGTGGTTAAAGATGATGTCATTAAATATGGTTCGTATTTTTCTAGTTTACTGAATATTTTAGAGAAACATGTTATAGGAATATAACGTGTTTGTTTTATAAGGATGCAAATTTAAGCAATAATTAAACAAGAGGCCTTAGGTTAATATATGATGATAAAGCTGTAAGCTCCATGATTGATTTAATAAGAAATAAGGATTTTGCGTATGTTTATTATGAGCATGGTGAAAAAGTACATCCATACATTATTTTGAATAATCCGAATACTGTTTGTAATTGGCTTGCTATTGATAACGATTGTAAGATATTAGGTGAGGGTGAAACTTCTACTAGTGGTAAATGTGTTAAGGATGGAAGTTCAAATAATAGTGGGGTTCAAAATGATGTTCTTAGAGACGATGGATATGAAAATATTGAGGGAGTAGTTCAAAATGATAATGAGCATAATGAGGTAGCTAATGAGACAATAAAGGGGCATTGTGATGATGAGAAAGATAAAAATGATGTTATTGAGGATCAAAAAGAAAATGAAAAAGATATTTTTGATTGTGGTTGGTTGAGTGACAATAATGATAAAGGTATGCAATAGGTAAGTAGATTTGTTAAAAGTGTAATAGTTGGATCTAAAAAAGTCAAGTCAAGAAGACAGAGAAGTTAAGTTTTGGATTGACTTGAAAATGATGGTGTTAAAAAAGAAAGGGAAATGAAAATATAAAAGGGAATGATGATGAAAATATGGATGGAGATGATAGTTATGTTGAGAGAGATCTTGAAAGATGAGAGAAAAAAATCAATA